GTGCTATATTCATCATTAGTAAGGCCAATTCTCGAAACCAGCTGCGTCATATGGTCCCCTTATGAAAGTTATTATGGGGATATGATTGAACGAGTTTAAAAGAAGTTCCTGAGAAATCTGTATAAAAGAAGATACAATTTCTTTCCTTACCTCTACCCTACTAAGTTCTTGATGGGGGTGTTAGGGTATAATTCATTAGAGCTTCGTAGGGATTTTTCGGTGGTCAGGTTTGGTTTGAGTGTAATTAAGAATGAAACGGAAAGCGTATACTTGCTGGGAGAGATCATGAGGCTATACGTCCCGGACAAATATTGCCGCTGCCGGAAACATAACCTTTTCATGAAATGAATAGTCAAGAATAGACATTCATCTCTGTTCATACAAATCTTTGTTTTTCAGCTTCTCGTATAATCTAAAGTAGTCTGCAAATATCAAAGTTAGAAGATTTTATACGTGTTTAAATAGTTCCGCTGTTAGAGGATCTAATATCGTAATGAAAGCTAAACTTAGATCGTCCCTGACGCTCCAGAGTATATTGTGTAAGTTGCGCACTTTGTGCAACTTGGAGGTGACATTAGGCCGAACTGCTGGTGAATTATCGATGGAGCTTTGGTGATATTGCCGTTAAAAGTTACTCGTATTTACGGACATTCTTGATATATAGACAAATTTATTACTTTATTAGCTTTACTAGACATTTCGAATGCTTGACAGCAGTCATAACAAGCCAGAGTCATTAAATTGATAGGTACTTCTTTTTAATTCGTCTTTTAAAATGTTTAAATTTAAATCTTCTTTACTCAAATTATTTATAATTGTGATTTAGGAAAGACGAGAACCCGATATGATTCGCTCCTAGATGTTTTAGTTAAACTTTTAATGCGTGATTATAGCTTTCATGTTTATTATTTGATGAGGGTCGAAGGCCTCGAGGCATACATTAAGTATTTAAAAATTCCACCAATAGGAAATTCTTTGAACTCAAATTTATGGAACAAGAAAGAAAGAAGTAATAATTATAAATTTATTATTATATACTAATTACTATATCATACACAGTTTGCTTAGTACACTTACTATTGTATTATACAATAATATTCGGGGCCAAAGAAGTTTAAGTACGTATTATTTTCTTTTTAAATGTCATAAAGTTTAAAATCATCATTTGTTAGCGGCGTAATCTAAATTACAGTAGCGATTTTTATATTAATTAGGTTTCCCTTTAAACTTTATAATATTCCACAGTAAAGTGGGAAATTCTGTTACAAATTATAATGACATAAACACATTCGTCAAAACTTCTGATACCATGTCAGAGACAAATGCGTAAGTCACCACGCCGTGGGAGTTTCCTTATGGGGGCAGGGTAGGGTTCCAACAATGGCGATTACTTATTAATGTTTTAACTTAGGATTTTTTAAAGCTCCAATAATAATAATAAATCATAATGCCATCAGACATCTCACGTGCATTAAAATCGGCAGTGAAGTCGAATTTTTACGTCAGATTAAAAGTTGCTCTTACTTCGGTGATTTTGTGATTTACAACTTACTAGTGAGTTATTTTATATGAAAATATTCTTACATAGGACAATGTATATGTAAGGGTTAGCTTATAAAATAATAAATAAAAAGAGCATTTTCTTAGAAAAAATAATATCTATATGTATTAGACCTAGTAACATAGAACTTTGTTGTTGTTAAAGGCCCGTTTCCAATTTAAACCTCTATTTCAAGAAATAAACGACGTTAACATTAAGTGTAATAATAGAAAAAGAATATGAAGATGGCGAAGAAAAATTTGATTAAGCGAAAGTAATTCGCTTTTTTATAATACCTAAGAAATAAATAGGTATTTACGAAACCTTGAATGCTTGCTGCTTTATAAATGAACCTAACGTCAAACCTTGAATTTGCCTTCTAACGTAAATTTTCAAAGGAGCTCGCAGGAAACTTTTTGTAAATTATAATTCCATCTCTGTATTACGATACTTATTTGTTGAGCGAGGAAAGCAGCAGCTGTGTCACCTGAGTCACCAGTACTAAATCTTTAATTTTTCTAAATTAAATATAAAACTAATTAGTAACGATATATTTGATACATATCTTGCCGTAATTTATAAATTAATAAACTAATTAAAAACAGAGACCTCATTACGCTCTCCTAATAATTATAAATAAAGGTCGTTTGAGCCTTTTCTCGGTAACTTAATAAATATAGGATCATATAAATTTTCCTCGCCAATATAACTTTATCTCCCAAGAGTCTAATCTACGGGATCGTTCTCACTGATACTTATGGGCCTCTATGAGACAAATTGTATAATTTGTTCTCTGTCTTCAGGGTAAAAATGCTTCACGAAGGGAATTTAATTAAGCGCTTGATGGTCTATAGAAAATAAGTGATTGGGTATTGGATCTTAATTATCGAGACTCTCTTGTCTTGACCAATCTGGACTATATTTATTTTTTTATTAACACTTCGTTGCATATACATTAATATAGTACAATTGACATAATTAAATAAAAAGGGGAGCAACTGGCGGCCTTATCGCTCTCGAGCGCTCTCTTCTAGGCAACCACTGTGAGAAAAGAAAAAAAATAAAGTATTAAATTACATAAGGTAGGCAAGAAGTGCAAAAATACATGTATTACATATAGATATTATAAATGAATATGCGTTGGATTCTTGAATAATTAAAGAAATATTAGCTCAAAGGTCTGCTATCGGGCCCATATGTCACCGTCAGTCACGAAGCTGCCTGCTGCTAAGAAAAATTGTATTAATATGTAGACATTAACTTCTTTTGTACATTCTAATTTTATTTATATGAATACCGTAAAGCAAAAAATAAAACAAAAATCCGTAAAGATATGTAAATATAACATCTTCGTAAGCATTATAAACATAGCAAGCTCGACGTTTGGAATGCTTTTGTGACCAGTGAGGTCAGCGAGTGGTGATAAATACGCGTTCTAATCCGTTACAGAAGTTTTCCGTAGATGTATTTTACTCGCGAAAACCAAAACAATCATTATAGCAAGCATGGAAATGTTCAGTTTAACAAGTCGTGGACTATATCTGTGTTATTAAATAGGCTAATAAATATAAAAGTGCCCGTGTTATTCACAAGTAATTCTTTTGAGAAAATTTCGAAGATTTACGTTAAAACTTACCTCATTTTTCATATTTTTTCTTATCCGTTATCGCGTTCCGAGTGATTATTATTTTTGCATTTTAAGTCAAAAGTTTCTTAAATTATTCCGTAACGTTTACTAATATAATAAAACAGAAGAGTTTGATTGGTTCGTTGTACGCGTTAACCTCAGGAATAACCAAGTCGAAAAATTCTTTGTGTGTTAGTTAGTCCATTTTTCGAGAAAGACTACTACTACTTATAGGATCGGAGCATCATCAGTATCGAAGAAGTATCAAATAAAATGTCGAGCTTCCGTTGCGTGCTTTAATAAAACTAAAATCGCATGTAACGAAATTGTTCGCCTTAAAAAGTTTGTGACATCCTGTCTTTAAAGATTTACTTTTTTTCACAAGCATGCAATTTTGATCAAAATTCTAATCTCATAATTTGATTACAATGAATATCGTAGTTTTAAAATAATGATAGAAAGAATGATGGTCAAATAACGCACGCGCATTTATGATGTGCCCCGTCCTAAATTAAGTCAATTAAAACCGAGACCAAAAAGTATTTTAAGAAACAGAAAGACATACAATTATTTACCTACAATTTCGCTACCTATAATTGTATTTCAAAAGGATTTAATGGTCATCCAATTACAATATTTTCTAATGAATTGACTAGTATTTGTAATGATTTTAAATATTGACCTAAAAACATGGACTTAGCCTTTGAAGTATTAATTGCACCAATGAGTGGGTAAAACGCTGGTTGGATCACTGTGCGATAGGTATCTCAATCAGCCGAAGTCACTGTATGATATTTTTTTTAATATGACATTTTGTGGTTGGGTAATTTTTCTATTATATGTCAATGTGTTTTGAGATGTTTGAAGAAAGAAAGGTGTTATGTGAAAACCACAAATAGAGGAGTTTTGGGGAGATAAAACACCTGACCAGATAGCTCCGTACGTTACTCACCTCTTATCACAAATACACATAAGCAATACTTTAAGGGATTTTTGGGAGAACACTAACCCCCTCAAAAGCAGAGTTGCTATTTCGGTGACTATCGATAGAGTGAGTGACCATGAGGAGGCGAGCGCATTAAAGTCTCCTTTAGGGCCACCGCCATTCTCCTTATGGCATGTGAACGGTGCGTGCGAGGAAAATGTGAAGGTGTTTATAAAAGCAGGGAGGTATTATCTCAATGTAAAAGGGCAATTTTTAAGTAATAGCATGGAAATCAAATCAAGTGCGTGGACCCATATAGATTAGAATTTAGAGTGAGACAGGGGGCTTGTTCAATCTGTACATAAATGGCCTCGAGGAGCTCAGCAAGCTGCATTTTGGCTGTTACATTGACGGTATTTAATTGAATAATATAAGCTACGCGGATGACACGGTGCTTTTGAGGTATGTGCAGGGTTTAAAAAAAGTTGTCGTAACCATATGGACTTATGATTGTCTGCTTAGATAAAAATCTTATTGTTATTTATTTGTTTCTAATATGTGGGGTATCATGAACATTGTTGTGTATTTCATCAACACAACTTAACCTCTTGTTATTTTTCATAGATAATTTTTAATGCATGTCTTTAAAACGCACTCTCCTAAAATGAATATGCACGGAGGTTTAATTACTTATTAAAACAACCGAAATTGAATCTGTGGTCTCAATCACCTCACCGAAAGATCAAACTTAGGATTATAATTCCTAATTATATCACAAAAAGTACTGCCTAAAACTACATTAAAATATATTAACACCGTTATTCTTAAAGGCGTCTTCGTTTAAACTTAATAAATAAAGTATTAACTATCACGACTAGACAAAGCAATCGTTGTACATTGTTCAAAGTCTACAGACTAGTCGATATTTCATTATTCCTCAAATCTGGGACGTTCAGTTGAAAATGTCTATTACAATTACAGTTAGTTTCTCCCCCCATCTGTCCTTTAGCCATACAAATATTTGGTGATCGGAATGTGTCGTCCTTTTTTCGCTTTTTACTTTTTGTTACTGTTGGTATCGTATATAAATCACCAGCGTCGGAGTATGCTATGTTATCTTTACCTAAATACTCAAAATTAAATTCATTCTGTGGATTCACATCATAGAGGTCATCTTTAACCCAATTTTCGGTGTATTTGACATCGTTTTTTGTCGTGTAATCGTTGTGAAGGTTGGTGTAATTGTTCGTATCGGTGACCTCCTGTTCAGAACTTAGGGTTCCATTAGAAAACCTTTGGGACATCCACATGTATCGGGTCATTGGATCCTCTGGTCCCCATAGTCGGGAAGGATGGAAAGCTGCCGCTACTTTCTAAAAATAATAAAGACGTAATTATTTCAGGAAATACATAATAAAAATGTGTTTGATGCGTTATTGTATGCTGTAGGAATACTTACGGCAAACAAATTATATTGTTCTTCTTTCGCAACAGCGATTCCAGCGAAAATAATCAAAATCAGCAGAACCCCTATGAAGGCTCCTACTAGTGGCCATAAGCTATGTCCTTGACTCCAGGCACTTCTGATGACTGCCCTCAACCACCATCCCGTTATCCCCACCACTAAAATAGGGGTACACCACCAGGTCACCATCCAAAAGCGTGGCATTTTGGCGCTCGTAATAAATTTAAGGTCGAATTTCAGATAGAAGTAACCTGTGAAAATGATTAAATAATATAATAATAATAATAATAATAATAATTTATTTATTGCAAGAATATGGTACAAATGCTAAGGTGATACAATCATGAATCGTTCGCATATTCTGCCACACACGATGGCGCGCAAATTCGTCCCAAAGAATTTTACAATATTATTCAAAGCCAATTCCTATATTATCCAGCCTATTATATTATATACATTTCATCATTAATTTTATATCATTTACGGTGTTTCATGCAAATAATCATTTATTGAATAGTAAACTTTATCCAAAAGCAATTCACTAAGTCGCTTTTTAAAGAATCTAGACGGAAGATCTTTTAATTCTTTTGGTAATTTATTGTAGACTTTAATTGCCATATAAAAGCTGTTTTTCCGAAACAGTTCCAGATTGATTTTTGGTACAGCCAAATTCTTCCCATGTCTACTTCTTACTTCAACTTCTACATTCGACTTAAAAATATGTATGTTTCTGTGCACGAATAAGGATATCTCTAAAATATAAATACATGGAAGAGATAAAATTTTGAGCTTCTTAAATAAAGGTACGCAACTATCAAGACAGTTTGCTCCACAAATTGCTCTAATACATTTCTTTTGAGCCTTAATTACCCTATTTACTTCGACTGAATTTCCCCAAATTATAATTCCATATCTAAGTATAGATGAAACATATGCATGATAAGCAGCTAATACCGTAGCATGGTTAACAGTTTCCCTTAGTCGCTTTAACACAAAAACAAAACTGTCTATTTTGTTCTGTAATTTTTCAATATGTGACTTCCAACTACAAAATTTATCTATCGTTATACCTAAAAATACACACTCGTTCATTATGTCTAGTTTATTGCTTTTATATTGTAAGTCTAATTGTGTTTTAGAGTTATATGTCTGAAAATGGATTATGTTAGTTTTGGTCATGTTTATTTGTAGATTATTGGAATTCATCCAGTTAATGGCGTCGTCTAGAGATTTAATTAAATTGTTTATTAAGTCTTGTTCGTTTTTACTTTTTATTATAAGTGTAGTGTCATCAGCAAATAGTATACAGTTCTGGTGTATAGCATCTGGAAGGTCATTTATGTATGTTAGAAAAAGTAGCGGGGCCAAAATACTGCCTTGAGGTGTTCCGTACTCATTTTTCTTAAAATTGGATCTATAGGTTTTTTGCTCTAGTTTACAAATCTTTGTTATTTCCACATATTGCATTCTATTTTCAAGGTAACTTTTCACCCAGTTATAAGCATTACCTCTTATTCCGTAGCAATCTAATTTTTTTTAAAGTCTTTCATGACATACAAAGTCAAAAGCCTTTGTCATATCTAGAAAGATGCAACCTATAAGCATTTTATCATTTAAGCATTCAGTAATTTGTTTGACTAGGGAAAAGCACGCAAGGGTGGTAGAACAATTTTTTCTGAAACCAAACTGTTCTTTTTTTAAAATATCGTATGATAAAAAGAAATTCTCTATTTTATTATACATTACTTTTTCGAAAATTTTAGATAATATGGGAATTAAAGTTATTGGTCTATAATTAGTCATTTATTATATACTTTGTGATTCGAGCTATTCATAATGCATTCATATGTTTTCGATTAATGTTCAATATGTTCTCGCTTTTCCCATAGTGCTTACCATAAATGTAGACAAAACCAAGTACTTCAAAGGTCACAGTTATAACTGCCAGTATGGGTACTACTAAGTCATCTAGCACCTCCGCAAAGGAAATGCCCCGGGACAGGACTGTGACAGTCAACGCAGTGCCTAATGCTGAAGTCGCCGCCGCGAATAGCCTCCACTGATCTCCGCATAAACGATGGAGTTTGTCGTATATGGGGAAAAGAAGAACTAGCTGAAATTATAACATTGCAATTATAAAAAGTTATACCATAGCGGTCCTACTAATGACTATTCGTAGTAGTAGCTTATGTTTTTATAATGTATAATTTATCTTGAAATTACTTTTGTAAAATAAGGTATTCTGTAGCTAAAAAAATGTATGTTAATTCTGCCCCAATTTGTGCGAATCCTTATCTTATTACAATTTCCATACTTTTATTATAAAAGTAAATCCAATTGTCCTTTATTGAAATATTTATTTTATTATTTTAAAAGGAAGCATAAGAATGGTATAAGCAATGTATAAATGGTAAAACTTTAAAAGCCAGAATACGGTATGAGCTCTCAATGCCAGCTGACCGCAAGCTTAGTAGGCTGCTGTTAAATTCGATAATCTCCCCACCGACGAACACAATAATTATTTGGAAGGATTAAACGGAATACAGTGTATTTTATTAAATCTAACATTATTACTTGAACTGATCTGGATAAAACTATAATAATAGCCAAGTATTATAATAATTACTATTTCATTAAATTACTATTAATTGATGTTTTCGATCAATGCAGTTGGATTGACGGCAATTAACACTTGCTGAACGGTCTGTGCCGGCACAGAAGGCTGATCCTACTTGTGCGTTAAAATAATATCAAAATAACTGTAACGTCAATCTTGCTTTGAGCATTTGACCATTGCTTGAGAGCCACTAATTTCTTTGTTTGAAAACATACCAAAGTAATAATTCCTGATATTAATACAATCGCAAAAGCAAGCAAAGGCCACTCCTTAGACCTGGCTTCGGTCACTGAAGACTGATAGATCAGCACTAAAATTGTAATGAAACTCTTATCCTTTGTGCCTTCACCGGCAAGTGATTCCCACATGAACACACTCAGCCAGCCAGTGAGCAGGTTTGTTATGATTAAAAATGTCGCTGTCCTGAAACCATAAGGATAAGATTTTAGCTAAAATTGTATTTTAAGTTTATAATTTGTGATTTTAGATATTGCTATTTATGTGATCAATAATTAGCAAATTGAGTAAACATAAGCGATTTTCAATGCAAAATTTTTAAGTGTGATTTCAAATCAAAAGCACAGAAAGGAAATTAAAAATGTCTAAAGTTAAAGAACAAAAGAACTCCATTCGGAATGACTTACCATCTGACATCCGACTGTTTATAAAGAGTGCCGCCTGCACTTATAAGAAAGCCACTCATAACACTTGTCGACAAGAGTGCCTGAACCAAGCCACTGTGCCAAATATAAGGTCGATATAGCAATGACCAGTCTTCCGTCTCCAATGAGGTCGTGAGCGTCGTCCCGTTTGAGAGAAACACGCATATTACTATGGCTATTGCGAATATTATTGGCGCCAGTGTCATAAGTGATGCTTTGAGAGATTTATGAAGACTGAATAACCTGAAAATTTACGTAATACTCATATAAAAATTCAAAAAAAGTGACTGAATTAATTATTAAGCTTATACGTACGCATCAACTTTCTTTTTAAAATAAATTTATGTATTAAATCGATTGAGTCTGGGACTTTTTTTGTTCTCTTTTTGGAACTTTCATTATATAAAAAAGATTTCTTCAAAAGTCATTTAGTGTCACCGGTTTTGTTAGTTATCGGTTATTCGGTATTCGTTTAAAACTGTATTGGATTTGACACATGAGAGTCAAAATTAGCGCTAAGTCTTGACTCTGAATACCACCTTAAGGCCATCTGGTTTCCTTACGATGTTTGCCAGCACCGTATACATAAGTGTTAGCTGCGCCTTTAGATTAAAAAATACCCATTGCTACAAACCAGTATTTGTATACACGTCGACTCGTAGAAAGTCGCACGTTTAATTCACACAAGGCTAAGACCAACACAGCTTAATTTTAATAAACCCTTATTTGATTTATAAATGCAAGATCTTTTGCCTTATTACATAAAATTGACCCATATTCATCAGCTCACTGGATCATGTTTATAAACTCCTCGTAACTGTTTATTATAGTTTAAATATTTAACGCTGATAATTTGATGGCCGACAAAATGAGATTGCATACAATAAATACCAATATAAGCTAATTTGTGTGGGATTTTATCCTATAAGCTGCTACAACTATTTTACGAATCGTTTATCCTTTTTTATTGGTATTAGAAATTAATGGGATTTGAGCTTTAAACTTTAAGAAGTTAAGTAATATATTATGCAAAAGTTTTCGACTACAATTCAGAATAATGTAGCTAGTTATGATGATTTATTTATTTTTAGTCACTTTCATATTGCTTTATAACAATTTTAAAAATTATTATATTATATATATATTTGAAATCATATAATGATGGCATTTAACAGCAAAATATAAGAAAATGGATACAATCGTAGAGTAACGTTTGGCCAGACCAAAGTTCAACAGACATCATAAAATTGCACCGTTTAAATCTAGTAATTAAGAAACGTAGTATTATACTTACATAAGCGGTACGAAGAACCATAAAATGAATATTAATATAGCCATTATTCCGAGATATTGCGGTTGTTCAGTGAACGGCGCCAAAAATGTCGAGCTGTAATAGTAATGATATAATATTATCACTTTTTCCGTTTCAAATGTAGAACTGGTAAAAACGTCTATTACAGAATAATAATCTAATACAGAATTACTCACTTAAAACACTCAGATGCATTCATTTTGTTTTCATATCCATCCTGAAACAAGATTTTCATTATCACGTAAAAAACATTATTACCCTCGTATCGAGGCCATTTAGTTACAACAAAACAGAATTAACTCTGTTATTTCAGTTAATTTTAAACCAAATAATGGAAATTTGCCAAATGAATTAATTTTTGGAATATGAGTATCACATAGTGAAATGTTGGTATTTATTAAGAAATACTCCATATGTAATTCTTTTTATTAACGATATTATCAGTAAGATAATAAAACAATTTTTTACCGGATTGAAGTTATGTATATCAAATGTGTAAAAGTTATGTCAATAAAAGACAATACTATGATATCAGTAAGGTTTTGCTAATTAATAAACAGAAAATCTATAAATAAATAAGAAAACAATAATATCACCAAATAGCTTCGTCTTTACTTGATCTATAAATGTTGCTGAAAGATAATTAAATAAAGCATTTTAAAAAAGGGAAAGGTGTTCTAAGAAACAATTCAATGTAGTTTAAGGGGGCAAAGGGGGTTCCCTTTGCCTACTTTCTAAAATCATTTTTTTATCGTATCTAAGTACAATCGAATCATAATAATACCGGCGTCATTTGAATCCTGGCACAGTCCTTCAGTGGGAATGATCCCTTGCCAATCCAAATCATGTACGCTGCCGAAAGAGACACATACACCATGCTGTAGATACAGCAAAGGTATGACGTCAGCACCTTGATGTAACCAACTCCTGAAAAATGAAATAAATTGAAGCTGTTATTGACATGGGTTTGGGTTTATACCGCGCTAACCACACCGCTACGAAAGCGGATTACTCCGGTGTGGTTAGTGCATCTCGCTATTTAATCCTTTCCGGATGATACTGAGTTCCATTCTTTGTGACGATATAACTGATTGGGTTAACACAAAAACTAATTTAGTTAAACGGTAAGCTACAAAATGATCAATAAAGCAGACACACACAGACAACAATCTTATTACAGGCGTAGCGTGTTATTTAACTGCGAGCTGTTAGAAATGTACCTCTAAATATTGGGACGGCACGCCAAACCCCCACAGCATCTTGCTGACTCAGTTGACCCATGGCAAGCTGCAACAATGCACACGGGAGACCAACGGCCACAAGCCAGACCGAGTAGACCACGAGGTACTGGACATCTCCGTATCTGAAAGCCTCACGGGGTAGTCGGACCGTGTTGAATAGAGTCAGAGACAGTGCTATGGTGAAGAACTGGGTCTTGAGTATGTCCAGCATCCGTCTGACTGTCTGAAACAACATAGGTATCTTAATACTTGCAATGACTTAACATTTTTCACACTAAATACAAAAAAGGGTATGAGTATTTAATAGTTTATTTTTTCATTTGAAAACGAAGGTGTGATAATTATTTAAAAGACGATTCTATGGCGCAAAGATGGAGATCGCTGTACATCGCTAAATGACATACAAACAAATTTTCATTGTCACGTGCACGATCGCATCGCGCACGCAACTTCTGACTCGGAATATTGATCTAATAACTTTAATTATACAGAGAAATTTAAATATTATCACGTGTCTTGAGCATTTGAAACTTACAACAACAATAAAAAATCACTGAATCACGATCGTATCTCAACGTGTCTTTTAATGTTTTGTTTTATATTAATATAACTTTGTTTTTTGTACCAGGAAGAGGTTGGAAAGGAAAGACTTATGATTTAATTGGGTAATGGTAAAAAGTTAAGAAAAATTAAATTAGTTTCTATTATTTTCTTCACAAGAAGATATTTATTCTTATGTATGAGGGCAAAGCCAATTAATAAACATTATAATTACAGTAAGTCGTATCTATGCGGATAAAACCTGAAGTTAAAAATATAACTTAATTTCAATTGGTTGCGTGGTTTTGTGAAGATGACGTAAACGCATCTTTATATTTTTTTCCTCAGCTTATTTAATTTTGTCTTGTTGGTCCCACTTTGAAGGATGAATTACTTATTTTTTCTATTTTTGCATAAAACTTTTTTTTGTAAAATGTTTTGTTGAAGTTTGAGAAAGAAAAATTTGCTATACTTAGTACTAGTTATCAAGCAAAAAAGTTTTATAATACATTTAAAAAAAAAATGAATTTTAATTATAATTATTAGATATTATTTGCACGATTTTTCTTTATACATGTATACACACTTATTATATAATGACTATTTATTCTGTTTTATTGCCACAAAAAAATTTACAATATAATAATTAAATAATGATAGCCGTCCAAGTATATTGTTGCAAAACGTTTATAAAACATGTATGTTGCTATTTGTTCTGTCGGTATGTTGCTGGGTGACACGTAGCTAAGTTTACAAAACATTCGAGGTGTATCATTTGAAACTGAGTTATTTTACAACTGCTATCGTTTTGCCAAGCATTGTCTATACAAGTAAAACTTGGCCTTTAAGATGTTAAAACCTAAATATAAGAAGTCATGTTTTGTGCCGTTTTTTTATTTCCAAAGAGTATTAAAAAGCATACATTCATATATTTACCACTCCATTAAAATAGTTCAGAATGGGCGAACCAAATAACATAATATGACGAACCTAGTAGACAGGCCCAAACTAAAGTAATAAAATTATTATTGGAAACACATTAGTACTCAGGTTATTAAAGAACTGTCGGCTATTGGCTGTTTGAAGTGAATCTGAATTCCGTGTCAGTATCAATATAAACCCCATAAAAGCAAAAAAAAATTCATTCTAATACAATAGTCAGTGTAATTGCTGACAATTACCTGACTGTGTAGGTCAATGAGTTAATTGGTCTTGTTATAATGGGACCGGCTTATTATTTAGAGAGAGCCCATTATTTTAGGAGTATAGTCACTGATACATATACCTCATTACATCGTTCATATTATATACTTGTTCATAAAATGTCTAAGCTTGAAAATGGATTAAGAAGAACTTATTCTAAAAAGTAATAGTTAACGCTATGTAATTCACCTTTGTTAGCGCTAACATCTTTGCAAAAGTAAATGTCCCTAATATAGCTGTTGAAACTACCACATTCAGTTTATTTTTATTAAAATTATTTTTTAATACAGATTGTCTCTCTACTGCTTAGTTAACAATGGAAGTGATTCATGTTTCAAGCCAATGCTTAATATCTTCCATTTCAACCAAAGCATGTAAAAGAAGTATTGTTTAGCTAACATTGACCCGATGTTGTCACGCTCGGCTGTTCGTGTCCGGTTTAAGGACCCCTCATTACGTTTATTAAGTATTTACGTCATATTTCTTCAATTAAAGGTGGACTTTGTTCAGAAAGAGAAAATATTTATGAATATTATCTATCTATTAATCTAGTGTTTAAAATGTTGCGAGTTGCATACTCTATCTCCTGCGCTAGTCCGAAAGTCGTATCCGTCCCGTGTATCCCGATCCTGTGGTTCTTTGGGAAACTTTAGAAATATATTCTATATTGGCACAGAATTATTAATCATTTGACTATCACCATATCTACTTCTATCATATATCGTGCAGTTGAGGACTACGACGGACGGCGGTTTCCAAAAGAAAGTCTTATATGATCCTCATACCCCGTATATAAATAATTTAATTATTGTTTAATAAATTAAACAAGACCAACCAATAGAAAAAAATATATATTGTTATTAAATTTTTTAGTGCATTCAGTACCATGGTGAAATGGTTTTTCAAAAGAAATATATCGAATTAAGGAATTTTAAGAGACAAGTTTAACCAAAATATAAAAGATATTTCTTTTGCACTCTGAAGTTAGATTGATAGGAGAGATAATAATCTTTTCACATAAAGATTATTGATGGAATCTATGTCACATAAATTTTTCTTATCTATAAGTAAATAGAAACACTTTTTCGCATGATTCTCTCATACTTTCACATTCAACATACCATTAAGTTGTAAACGGGCATAACGTTTTTTTTAAACATTTATCGTATTGAGTATTTGTTGTAAAAGGTACGTTCCCATAAAAATAATAGATAAAGCTAGCATAGCAAAACATAAAATTAGGATTACTTTTAAAGTTACTATTATTTTTATCAAACAATGTTACTACGACATAATTTATAACATGCAAAAAAAAGAATTGAGAAAGTGCATAATCAACTTACTAGAGTACCAATCTTCGCCATAATTATCAAGCATTTATCAGCGTCATCTTTAACACACTTCAAATTAATCGTTATTACAATGTATTGTATTATAAAAATATCTAATTTCTTTAAAATACGCGTCGCGTGTATTAGCACTTTACGACTGTCATTTCACTTCCAATACATAATTAACTTTTAATTTCTTTTCCGTTCTAAATACTATTTAAAAACAATTACAGTTATCTTTCTAATACGTAATAGTATTTAAGGTAATAATTATGTGTATCTAGGTTATCATAAAAAAACAGATACTGTAGAAACACTTATTGAAGCACTGTTTACATATGCCTAGATTAGTAAACGCAATATAAACCTAAAATACAGTGTGCTAATTTATTTTCATTGTCACTGTGAAACATCATTTGATTCATTTAAAAGCTAATGTTTATGAATAATAAATACACACGCACAATATTTGTATAATATATCTTACTTGGCACCCTAACATTCAGTTTATAATTTAATAAATACAATTGTTTATAACTTAATAAGCATAATAATAAACGTTTTAATGTAGTTGTCTTAAAGTACTTTAGCTCTTTAATTTAAATTGTATATCATGTTAAGGCTTAAAAACAATAAAGTAGCTTTAATATGTAGATATAATAAACACTGACTTAATATTCTTGTAAATCTTTATTTGTTGATAAAACCTTTAAAATACAAAAAATGTTTTGGAACACTCTTGATGGACCATTCACTTCTACTCCTTTTCAGTGACATATTTTACTTTTTTGTTTCATATTTATAAACTTGAGCCAAATTCACTTTCTGTTTATGCTTAAATCTGGACTCAATTTTGATAATCTTCTGGACTGTGGATAACATTATTTGGTGGTTCTTTTGTGATATTTGTATTTTTTTCAATTACCTTTTTATTTAAGCTTAGCAATAGGATGTATAGTAGGTACCATGTATCACGTATTTCTTTTCAAGGAGTTTTGATACATTCCATTTTTAATATTGTCAATAGTTGGCATAAATTTATATTGATCAAGGACACGTTTTAAAGGCCATTCTGACTCAAAGGGCCCTAAGTTAATTTTAAAATAGATATAAAATAGACTTGTGGAAATGTATAAGTTATTTAATTCAATAAAGGTTTAATAATAAATAAACGCAGTATTCTTTCATGTACAAATGACTATTTTGTTGATATGAGTCGATATATAAAAAAATATTATAGTACAGTACATCTGGAAAATACGAGGAAAATATGTAATAATTATTCACCTAATAGGTATCAATGTACAATCTTCTCAAGAACACAGTTGTTTTTATGTAGATATTTTCTAATACCGTTCTTAGTTATTTTATTAACAAAATTATTTCATAATTATACTACTCGTGGAACAGGATTTTCCTAGACAATCTGAGTAGACTCTATTACATCTGTTTCAATAACTACGCCGGCGATCGCGTCTTTAAAAATCATGAAATAGCAAGAAAACATCTCAATCGCAATCCAATATTACAAACAAACAAGGTCATTAAGCATCGTAAGTATTACCCGGCCATATTGACGAGTCCTCGTGAAGCTAGCGTCGAGACGTCCAGAAGTCACAACACAATTCGGTCGGGTTAATGCCATATAAAAACAATTAGTTTTCATAAAACTTGGAAAGTAAAGAGACGGTCGCGCGCACGCGCATTACACGTAAAACTGAATAGGACGAGGAAGGTGCGCGTAGTGATGCGCCGTTGTTATCTTCTAATTTGACAGCTGAGAATTTTGTCTTAATCGTCGTCGGTCATTTAAAATTATAATTATAGATTCCTTAGCTAACAAAGTAATAAAAAAAAATTCGGATGAGAAAATAATCGGCAATCTGTTTAATTTTATTAGAAGAGAAAACACAAACGTTTATGCTTACATAGTATGGATATCTTAATACAAGACATAGATACGTTTAAGATAGAAAATTATAAATAAAACCGACGAATACCTGCTGTATAAATGTCTTATAATGATTAAGAAACTTTTAGTTAACATTCTCTAAAGTCGTATATCGACAAGAACCGGAAGTGAATTGACTGCTAGTACACATCCCTAAACTACGCTAGACCGCACTTGACGCAGTTATGGAAATGAACATCACAGTAAAGTAAAAATAAAAACAGTGGATAATTACAATCGCCGTGTCCACTGACCGGCACGGTTATATCAAACTTTGAGTATATTTTGAGTAAGAATTCGGTTTCCAAGTGTGTTCCACTTTTACAAACCCATGATCAAAATGGCGGAATATTAACATATTACTGCAGTGTAAATCGAGGTGTTCTTTCCTTATCAAGCGGTTGTTTGTCCAGTACAGCATCTCACAGATATGTCCTTTAATCCCAAACTCAAAGATTTACCAAATGCGATCTTAGTTTATACTCTGTCAACATTATACGTCACAGATTTAGACATAATCCGTGAAGGTCAAGATGATTAAATTAAGATTTAAATCTAACAAAATAATACGTAATTAAAGACAACTTTACGTTTAACGTGGGAAATACAATAGAGAATTAAATACATTTAAATTTTATTGTAGATGATTAATCACTTGTTAATTTATAACAATGGGGATAAAGGATTGTCTTATAGCTAATATATTTGAATAAAAAATAATCTAATAAGCGTAAAAGCAATGTTTGCTTTCGCCTAGTAAATGTTATATTAAAAATATTTCTTAATGTTTCTCAAAATAATACATTCTAAACACGTACTGTATTATTAGGTTGGAACCTCACGCTAGTAGATTTTTTTTAGTGTAAACAATTATATTTTATTTTTTAAATTAAATAATTCTACTAACACACTAATTTGTAAAATATAGAATTGTTTACTTCCGGTTGCCGTAACATTTTCTCTAATAGTATTCTCGTAACCATGAGTTTGACCTCACTTGACAATTACCTATTGCTTTATAGTTGTAGTTACTTTAGTTATGACTATTTAACTTCTGCTCAGTAAAATACTTACGCATATGATTATTTTTATTATTATTTCGAAATATCCTATTTTATAGCTGCAACACCGAATCAACAAAATCAAAACAAATACAGAAATCGGCGTTCGACAAGACCTCACAATCCTTTCGAATCGAAAAGTTCTGCTAATTTCTTTTCATTTATGTCATAAATATTAAATTACGATATAAATGTAAATGAGCGTGAATGTGTGATTAATAAAGTAAAGCATGTTACAATATTTTACTACGTATGGTGTTAATCATCTGTGCAAACATAGCACTATCGTGTTTAATCTGTGACCTCTAAGAAATTAGATCATTTTGTTTTTATGACTCAAATATTGTGAGCATTACCTAGCTGCTTAAACATTTGCGTTCAAAGAACCATCATTACATGAATCGTGACCGTGTTATAGCGAAAAAGCCATGGTCATTTAATAAAATAATTATTCCTAAAAACAAACTTTTAAATAGGAATCGTCTTGAACCCTGATCCTCGATTTCATCTAAATAGATTATTTACCGCTTTTATTAGCCCTAAACGCGGTGAAACAACAAAAAGCCGCTTTAAATCGATAGAACACCTTTCACAGAAAAAAGTGGTGCCACCTGAATACAAATTTTATAACATTGATTCACGACAAGCGCCCTCCCATCCAATCGAAAACTTTTCCTACCCACGGATTTAATCCATTGGTAATACGAAAATTGATGTAAGTCTGCTCGCCGTGCCTACACCGCGCGCCGCTGTCCATACAAAGTGAACAGCCTCCTGAAGATTTCAGATTTTCTGCCGGGGCCGCTAGCCCCTCTGACCTTTTCGTAAAATAGACCTTATACAATCAACAAAAAGTAGAAATTC